GGACATCAGAAATGGGCTTCACACATTGTACCCATGTGGGGATACGAACCCGGGTCTTCGGCGTGACGAGCCAACGCTTTAACCATTAGGCTACCCTACAGCCCCTCACATCTACATCTTTCACAAGTCTGTGTGGAGGTACTGGAGGTTCAACTGACGTAGAGATAAGATAGTTCTATTACACGAGGACCCTTACCCTGTACCACAAAGCGATCTTAACGTTAACACTTCCACAAGATAGATGTGGCGTAAAGACCGCTTTGTCAAATTAAGATTTAAGATATTGGAGAACCCACTGACGTAGATCACTTTGTTACATGAGGAGCGGGGTCCGGTTAGACAAAGAGTAAGTTTCATACGTGGCGTAGACTTCCGGGAATCAACACCCTGTGAAACTAAGAGGTCTGTCTTCACAAAGGTGTTATAGCCCAAAGACGTCCGTAAGATCATTTGTGACATAGTTCTAGACTTACAGCAGTCGTAGAACTGATATCGTTTTCTTAAACGATGACATGGGTTACTTTCACTAAGTGATTGTAGCGCTAAGACTTCCCACATAGTAACATAGACATACGGTGATTTCGCTAAGAGATTGTAGCGCTAAGACTGCTGTGAGTGTCATAGTTACATAGACATGGGGTGATTTTGCTAAGAGATTGCAGCGCAAAGACTGCTGTGAGTGTCATAGTAACATAGACATACGGTGATTTCGCTAAGAGATTGTAGCGCAAAGACTGCTGTGAGTCCCATAGTAACATAGACATAGGGTGATTTCGCTAAGAGATTGTAGCGCAAAGACTGCTGTGAGTGTCATAGTAACATAGACATACGGTGATTTCGCTAAGAGATTGTAGCGCTAAGACTGCTGTGAGTGTCATAGTAACATAGACATAGGGTGATTTCGCTAAGAGATTGCAGCGCTAAGACTTCTGTGAGTCCCATAGTAACATACACATACAGTGATTTCGCTAAGAGATTGTAGCGCTAAGACTGATGTGAGTCTCACAGATGTCCGACAATCGTTGCTCCGAGATCACTTTGCTGGACGAGGACCTGACACACATATTCTCGTACGACAGAAGTACATATAGAACCTGGTAGCACCAGATAATTATTGGGATGCAACTGTCGTAGCGTGCGTATCGGCGACTTATGCTAAGGTTGCATAGTCGTTAAACTGGGCGCAGGTCATTCCAGCAACAATTTACTTGTCCAGATAGGTTTTAACATCCCGCTCAATCGCGATATAATTATAAAGAGACTGAATTTCACACAGCGCATTGATTGAAATGTCTAGACAGTCCGCACCAGACAGAGATTTAGAGAGATGGTCTTTACGGGAGACAGGGATTCACAATCTGGTGTCCATTACTTGTGTAAGTCAAAACTCTATAATTAGCGTCATGTATGAAATCGATACGTCGTGTTTACGCAATTAGGTGGGATTGATCCCGATAATAAAACTTTAGCTGAGGATGAAGTGTTTTAATGCAAATTGTCTGGGTATGTCAAGTAAGACGACAGCAGCCCCTCTTTAATTGGTGAGATGAGTCATAGTCCGACAAAAACTGCACTATACGTAGTGTAAGATTTTCAAACTTCTTTCAACATTGCGACAAACATATATCATTCATGGCCTAATGGGTCTGAGGCTGTAAACGGATACTTGTTATAATGGAATGAGAACCTTTGAAAAAGTTACCTACCCTACAGCTCGTTTCTCCCATCTGTCCTTAATACCCCGATGCAATATGGTTAAAGAAAACCATCGACCGATATCAATTAACTGGAAGACATTGAGTATCACGTGACCAGCATATCTCACACTTTAGTATTATATATATCTAGAAATCTAAGACATACAGTGACGAGAGAAATACCACGACAATGTAATGGCAATAAGCCACGAGCAGAATGCGTGCTCGATGTCTACCCCCAGCGCAGTCAATGATGTTGAGGGTGGTGATACTTCACAATATATGAAAATGCAAAGATCTGTTTTTCTCTTCGCAAGTAGAAAAATATCATTACCAATGTGACTTCTACTGAATCTTATCGCTTTGTGATAGGAACTGTTGTTCATACATCCATTTAGAGAGTGAATGTTTTACGGTTTCCTTTGGTACAATCACAGAGAGTTGAGATAGAATCCCCGTCAGGGTCAATCTGTGGGGGAAATGTTTCAGAGAAGGTGTTCTAGGGCAGATGTCCTGAAACAGGTGTTCCAGAGATGGTGTTTCAGACGTGGTGTCCCACAGCCTGGGAACCGGAGTTGGTGTCCTAAATGAAACGTCTTAGTGTTGTATTACAGGTTATATAGCAGAGGTTGTGTCCCAATGACGGCCTTGAGGTGGTGTCCCAGAGATGGTGTTCCAGTGATGTCCCAGAAAGGATTTACCCGAGGTGGTGTCCCAGACAGGATTTACCAGAGGTGGTGTCCCAGAGGTGGTGTCCCAGACAGGATTTACCAGAGGTGGAGTCCCAGAGGTGGTATCCCAGAGATGGTCTCGCAGACAGGAATTACCAGAGGTGGTGTCCAGAGATGGTGTCCCGGACAGGATTTACCAGAGGTGGAGTCCCAGAGATGGTGTCCCAGAGGTGGTGTGCCAGAGGTGGTATCCCAGACAGGATTTACCAGAGGTGGTGTCCAAGAGGAGGTGTCCCAGAGGTGGTGTCCCAGACAGGATTTACAAGAGGTTGTGTCCCAGCCAGAGATGGTGTCCCAGACTGGATTTACCAGAGGTGGTGTCCCAAGAGGAGGTTTACCAGAGATGGTGTCCCAGACAGGATTTCCAGACAGGATTTACCAGAGGTGGTGTCCCAGACAGGATTTACCAGAGGTGGTGTCCCAGACAAGATTTACCAGAGATGGTGTCCCAGAGGTGGTGTCCCAGACAAGATTTACCAGAGGTGGTGTCCCAGAGGTGGTGTCACAGACAGAATTTACCAGAGATGGTGTCGCAGGTCATATTGAGACATTTCTCAGTAGTGGAACGGTTCCTGGTTGTTTCATGCGTCGACGCTGTAGCTCACCTGGTCAGACCCTGCCACAGTCTACATCAACTGAATGGCTGTACGTACTACTTCCGGATGTGGCACAAAACCTCATTCGCACACTCATCCCCTCACGAGGAGGCTTCTATCATACCCCCTGTGTGTCTACACGCACCAACAAAGAGGCAGTTCCCCTAAGGGGCAAGCTGGTACACTAACGTAACAATGGTTGGTTTGTTTGTTCGAGTTCCAGTCTCTGTGAGGAAATCATGAATATATGTAAAGCCGTTTTATTTCACTTACGACACAAATTAATACATCAGACAGACAGCAAACACATACGGTACATTCCCCAGACAGACGAGCGTTACCGCAGATTGGGGAAATCCCAGTCTGGTTACCCTGTAATACCCCAGCTAGACAATATGCACACTGTAACGTACCCGGTATTCCTACAGCAAATGGCTTCAACAGATGTACTGTTGGTTACGTCTCTCAAATCTCAGCGACATAGCAAGGATGACCCTGTTGTCCAGTGAGCTGAAATTCGCCGCATATGGTTGCGTAATTTACAAGTCCCGAAAGGGTATGATTCTGGGTTTAAGTCCTGGATTGACCATGGTTAAGTTTCTTGGTTTTTCATGACCATACCTGCAATTGTGGGTTTCACCAATGTGGGAAATGTGTAACATATTCGGGGGGTTCTCCCCCTGACACGCTGGGGTATAACCGAAATCTCGTTCAAAGAGGCGTAAACTCACTCCCTCACTCACTCAGCCTGGTATATCCTTCTCTTATTTCTTATGTGTGACACTTTCCCTGATGATATTTAACCGTCTCCGTGCTGCAATCGATAGAACGTCTCCCAGATAGGTGTGGTCAAACAACGTTAAAATAAGGTACTTGACGTTTCCCTGCCTCAAGGACTGGTCAGGTATTTGTTAGTATAATGTGTGCGGATGCGGTATCCCTGTTTAACTGGGACATCGTATATCAGTGCACTAGCACTATACAATCAGTATAACCTCACACGACTACAGACCGCCTCCGTGGTGTAGTGGTTAGAGCGTCCGTTCGGAGAGCGGAAGGTCGCGGGTTCGATCCCCGACCGCGTCATACCAAAAGACGTTAAAATATGGTACTTGTTGGTCCCTGCCTGGCGCTCGGTATTATTGGGTACAACAAGGACTGGTCGGCTCGGAGTCAGTATAATGTGTCTGAGTGGGGTATTCCTGCTTCACTGCGGCATGGTATCTCAGTGGGCTAGCACTATAAAACCAGCTTAAGTCTGGGCTAGTACAAGCAGCCGCACATACATATACACACGCATGCACGTCGTCATATGAGCGAAATATTCTCAAGCACGACGTTAAACCCAATTTCACCTCACCTCACCTCACCTCACCTCACACGACTACAGGCAGCCAAATGATGACGTACATGCCCATAGCTATCTTCCTACATTGTTGTAAACGTGACGTCACCCTACCGCACACAATACAAGAAAACATCAGGTGAGCTACAGAGCCTCGTGAGTCGTGACTCAGATTTATTGAATTTTACTGCCATTTTTGTTTTTTGACTTTGGGTATTATATTTTTCCTCGTACTGCGTTCGCTAAGAAGAAACACCGCCACTCGGTACGTCCCTATAGATATGAATAGATTCATCCTATCCTATCTTTTACCCACGTCTGTTAAATCTCATGGCACATCCATTTGTCTGGAATCAAATTGTTCCCTTGACATTTCCAAATAATACCTTTTACTAGCATTACCGACGACGGTATCGCCTTTGTAACGTGACCTTGAAATGAGTTAACTATTATGACCTTAACCCACCGGGAGATCACTTTTGTAACACTTTAAAAACTAACCCTATTATTAATGTTGATCAAAGTACGCGTGAATCACCAAGTACCTGCAATTACAGGGCTTACATTGACAACACAGCCACGTGAAGCCTGTCTGGGAACACTGGGCGATTGTCCGCATGGTTTAACAAAGTTGACATCAAGTGCCTCGGTTTATCTGCTGGAGTCGCCTCGAGTAATCTATCGTTTGATCCGGCAATGACAATCTCACTGTGGCTTACACAGTTGCCTTAAATACCCGTTTGACTGTGTTTGTACTGAGGGGATTCGGTCTGTGCCTCTTGTTCATTATTGGGGTACAGTATTGAGTTTATCCGGCTTTTAGGGACAGACAGACAGACAGATTATTTATTAAAGTCTCACCTCAAATTTTTACATAAAAAACATATGTACAGAGTATAAAAGTGTAAAATGTGAGCCGCCCAAAAATGGGTCATGAGAGACTAAGAATACAATAGATAGATAAACTTAATTTTAGGGAGTCAAGAATTGTGTTAGTTTTTATGAAATATAGGCCTGGGTGCTGTTGTACAAAATAACCTTAGCGCCGAGACTACCTTGCGTCTATGTTAAGGAATGGGAGTTACGGTCACCTTAGCCCTGTGATCGCTTTGTACAACGACACCCTTTGCCCTCTTTCAGAAATCCAAGCTACGGCAGTGTTTTCTGTTATTTTTGTGAAACCGATCTGGGCCTTCTTTCACACATCGATCTTAGCGCTAAGACTGTCGCACTACCGTTAAATGGCAGAATGCATGCAGTTGAGCATGGACTATATTTTCCAGCACCATTTTTCTATGCATCATCCATAAGAAGACATTCACCACAGACCACAATAGAACAAACGTTAACCTATCTGCCCTCTCACCTGCATGTCAACCTTCGTGTAAGTCCCCCTATCTCATTTACACGTGAGTGACGATTGTTGATGATTACCTGTGACTGCCACGCCCACAGCAACGTCATCGACACGCTTCCATGTAGAAATACCTGTAATCTGTTTCTCCGGTTACAAATTCCAAATACTTTGTTCACAGAGTTCTTTTTTAAAAACGTAGATTGTGGTTTTGCGCCTCTATATGGATTCGAACACGGATCTTCTGACATGCGAACCACTGGGCCACCTAGTCTTCATTATTTAATATTAAACTGTTTAAGGTTGGGTTGATTACTGGAAAATCGACAAAATAAAAAAAACTAAAAGTTAATGGAAAAAAAATCAAGGTGTTGCCACATTGTTGACAGATGAATGGTTTATAATTTGATTTTTTAATCCATGACTGTGACGGTTTTGATTGACAGATCCGCCAACAAAGTGGAGGCAAAGAGCTTTTATCTACTCCCTAAATCTCCGTTACCGTTAGTGTAATGTTTTTGTATTCAAAGCGCCAAAGGGGCGGTGGGGTAGTTGCGTATCTGCTCAATGGTAGCCTTTCAGAAGTTCATACGAACAATCCTGTTAAGTGCTAGTGAAATTGAATTGCTTTTATCAAATGTTAATATCTGAAGCACGTTGTGTTTGTATATATCTGAATTACTAATGAAATCTGTCAAACCAATAATTGATGAGCCAAGATTTATTATACAGATATACTGCCGTCGTTATCGATAGCCTTGATAAATGTAATTACTTCTGAATTTCACATCACAGTTATCGATATACAAGAATCAAATACTCCATTTGGTAGCCAATCTATTGCAATGTGATAATGTCTCACACCTGGGGAGCGAACTGCCCTGTTAGGATGTAAACATATACTGGTGTACTACTCCGCCAGGAAAACAAATGAGTCCCTATCACCGTTGTTATTTAACCTACCGCGAGTCAAATAGTACCTTCAATCCAGACGCAGGTTAAAAGCGCACCTGAACCAACATGACGGTCAGGTAACTGATAGGTTTCATCTGAGGTAGATATGTTCTCAATTTGGAAATTAGATAGTGTAAATCGCTCTTAATAAGTCGGGTCGTTTTCTCGTGGTAATGTTTAACTTGGTGCCTGCCAATGAGCTCTGTTTCTACATGGACCCAGATGACACGGCAAGCTGGTATAAAAGACTCGGTGTATCTATTGTGTATACAGTGTGTATATAGTGTGTATACACCAGCAGGCCGACATTAAGGGGGGTAAGATGTATCAGCTAACGGTTGTATGTGGGACACAATGGCATTCCGTACAAGACTTACACTGACATGTACATGTTCAGGGTGTCGCTTACACAGGGACGGGAGTCGACCCATGTTGCGTCTAGTTTGCAATACCTGTACAATATGTCATGGTTAATATGGCGGTAATCCTGACTCAGCTTGTTGTATTTTTACTCAAAGAATGTCACAGGATTGCATTCCTATTTAATGAGAAATGAGGTGATGAAACATCTAAAATTGTTGAGTGAATGTGGTTTTACGCCGCTTTTAGCAATATTCCCAGGAATATCACAGCAGGGGCCACCAGAAATCTGCTTCACACATTGTACTTTTGTGGGGAATTGAACCCGGGTCTTCCGTGTGACGAGCAAACGCTTTAACCACTAGGCTACCCTACCGCCCCTTAAAACTGTTTAGTGTGAACACGGGTGGTCCGATATTCCATGTTGCGTCCCGTAACAGTGTCAGGATCCGATGCTCCCTTGAGTGGTGATCTTCCTTCAGTTGCTACCAATCTATGGCCCTTTTTATTTTGTATTGTTTACTTTAAATGATATCTTTTCATAATAACATGCTTGTTTTACATTACTGTCCATCGCCGACAGGTTTTAATCTCCAAAATATATTTATCTTTAATATATAAATTGTTCTCGTCACGATATAAATAATAACTCACTCAGGATCCGATGACATTGGTTTCGAATCCCAGACTGCCTTAATAATGGTTTGATTATAATCTGGCGTGCCAAACTCAAACTGTGTCATTCTTTAATATGTGTGATATACCAAAAACTCCGTTGAAAGGGGTGTGAAACGTAATTCACTATCACTCACTTTGTACACTTCATCTTCCACACAAACGTCACGTACAATGCGTCTTCACTGTCTTTTCAGGAAATTGAAAATGTGCATGCTAGTGTGCGTGTGTGCGAGTGCATGTGCGTGTGCGTGTGTGCGTGTGCGTGCAAGTCTGCGTCTATGTCTGCGTGTGTTCCCGCTATTCCTGAATAAGCGAGTCTGAATTGGACTGACTGGGTTTGGTTTTACGCCGCTTTTAGCAATATTCCAGCAATATCAAGGCGGGGAACACCAGAAATAGGCTTCACACATTGTACCCATGTGGGGAATCGAACCCTGGCGACGAGTAAACGCTTTCACCACTAGGCTACCCCACAGCCCCGGGTCTGCATTGGAAGCAAACCCAACGAACCTAGTGATCAGGACATAACCTACATCTGTTTTGATTTAAACATTGTAAATTGGTAAAATGGTTTTCAGAAATGAAGTTGATTATATTGAATAGGGTGCACTGTCTTGTCATTTACCTATTTGCTGCTTAAACCTTTTCACTTACTCGACATACAATATTAAGAGATGATTACATCATGAAATCGATCACATATTTGTGATATCCGTGAAGATCTTGTTTAGGAATTGATCTGTGACAGCTTCCAGCACGGCGACCCGTGAAGATCGGAGGTAAAACAAGACTTCAGCAACCCATGCTTGCCACAAAAGGCGACTATGCCTGTCGTAAGAGGCGACTAACGGGATCAGGTGGTCAGGCTCGCTGACTTGGTTGACACGTCATCGGTTCCCAATTGCGCTGATCGATGCTCATGCTGTTGATCACTGGATTGTCTGGTACAGACTCGATTATTTACAGACCTCCACCATATAGCTGAGTGCGGCGTAAACCTAAACTCACTCACACTCACTCCAGCATGGCGTTGATACCATGGATAAACAGTTACATGTGTCTTTAGAATTAGAGTATCAGGTTTGAGGATATTGCTACATGCCTGTAAAAACAGGTGGTACTGCAAGTAGTAACTGCTCTGGACGATACCGACAATACCATTATCTGGTGACCGCTCGTACCAGGGAAAATCAGGGTAAGAGTTGGTCTTCAGCAACTCATGTTTGTTGTAAGAGGCGACTAACGGGATCGGGGGGTCAGGCTCGCTGACTTGGTTGACACATGTCATTGCATCCCAGATGCGTGGACCAATGTTCATGATGTCAATCACTGGATAATCTGGTCCAGATTCGATCATTCAATTGCCACAGTAAAAGCGCAGCAATAATGTTAGGTGTTGTGTTAAGCAACACAAAAAAAACTTCCAATAAATATCAAATAGCAAGGAAAACTAAAGCCTATGGATAGTCATCTTCTTTATTGCAATGAGTGCGGCGTTTCAGCGTAGGTACTAACACCGTTATCAAGCAAGTGATAACGGATAACTTGCTTGATAACGGTGTTAGTACCTAGTACTACCAACGCCGAAACTTTGCACTCATTACAATAAAGAAATTGGCTATACATAGACCTTGATTTTCCTTCATCTTTACAACTTCTAAAATGCCTCTCAAAGAACAAAACAAATAGCAAGCGTGTAACAGTATCTAACAAATCCTTCCTCCATAACAGTGTGACGACATACTGTCATTCTGTCCAACAGATATTAGTTTCCTTAGCAATGTCGATCTAGACCGATGATTCCAATACTTGAATATGATGTATGGCCACTCAAATCAAGGTGTCAATATTACCCATCCTGTGACGTCACAGCACGTGACAATGTGTGAGCAGACGACACCAGGTGATTGAGTGACGAAGAATGAAAACAATTTTCCTCCGGTGACAGACTGTCAGATCGTCAGGACCAAGGTGATGGAATTTCCTGTCGTGTTTACAACCTTATGGTGTTTAATCTACAACAGGAGACTGTACAAACACTCAGTGAGTGATATATTCTGGGGGGAGGGGGAGGGGGGTCACCAGAGTGGGGTGAAGACAGGTGGCTATTTACTTGTCCTTTCTTGTGTTACTGTCACAAGTTGCTATTAGAAATAAGTCCTTCAGAGTATTATATCGCGTTACAGTAATCATGGAGGTTGAAGTCACCTTCTCACGCCGCTGTTGTGGGTTGAAGAATTAGCTGCACGGCTGAGCATCGTTGTCAACACGAGCATCACCACCGCGACGTCAACCACATCCCCACAAACACCATCTAACATCACCGACACCACACAGCCCTCACCACCAACCATTCCATTCCCTACAACTAGCATACCCCACCGACACCACACATCTCTTGAACAGAAACCACAACACAGCACGTTACCGCTACCGTAGCCACCATCATTGAAACTACCACGATCACCAGCAATGCCACCTCGACATATTCTACTTTCACCCCATCTGTCTACTAAGCCAGTCTCTCCCCATCCCATATGTCGACTGAGACAGTCTCTCCCAACCCATCTGTCTACTAAGTCAGTCTCTCCCCACCCAATCTGTCAACTAAGTCAGTGTCTCCCCATCTGTCAACTAAGTCAGTCTCTCCCCATCCCATCTGTTGACAAAGTCAGTCTCTCTCCACCCCATCCGTCAACTAAGTCATTTTCTCCCCATTCCATCTGTTGACTAAACCAGTCTCTCCCCATCCCATTTGTCAACTCAGTCAGTGTCTCCCCACCCAGTCTGTCGACTAACTCAGTCTCTCCCCATCCCATCTATCAACTAAGTCAGTCTCTCCTCACCGCATCTGTCAACTATGTCAGTTTCTCCCCAACCATCTGTCAACTATGCCAGTCTCTCCCACCCCATCTGTCAACGAAGTCAGTCTTTCCCCACCCCATTTGTCAACTAATTCAGTCTCTCCCCATCCCATCTGTCAACTAAGTCCAGTCTCTCCCCACCCCAAATGTCGACTAAGTCAGTCTCTCCCCACCCAATCTGTCAACTATGTCCAGTCTCTCCCAATCCCATCTGTCAACTAAGCAGTGTCGTCCTAAAACTTCCAAAATCCCCAAAATACAGGGTTGCGTTTCTTTTTTGACAGAGTTTATGCGTGATATACCAAAATCTCTGCTGAAAGGGGCGGAAACGTAATTCACTCACTCACTTTGTACACTTCATCTTCCACAAAACGTCACGTACAATGCGTCTTCACTGTCAATAGGCTTCACCACATTGTACCCATGTGGAGAATCGAACCCTGGCGACGAGTAAACGCTTTCACCACTAGGGCTACCCCTGACAGCCCCGGGTCTGCATTGGAAGCAAACCCAACGAACCTAGTGATCAGGACATAACCTACATCTGTTTTGATTTAAACATTGTAAATTGGTAAAATGGTTTTCAGAAATGAAGTTGATTATATTGAATAGGGTGCACTGTCTTGTCATTTACCTATTTGCTGCTTAAACCTTTTCACTTACTCGACATACAATATTAAGAGATGATTACATCATGAAATCGATCACATATTTGTGATATCCGTGAAGATCTTGTTTAGGAATTGATCTGTGACAGCTTCCAGCATGGCGTTGATACCATGGATAAACAGTTACATGTGTCTTTAGAATTAGGGTATCAGGTTTGAGGATATTGCTACATGCCTGTAAAAACAGGTGGTACTGCAAGTAGTAACTGCTCTGGACGATACCGACAATACCATTATCTGGTGACCGCTCGTACCAGGGAAAATCAGGGTAAGAGTTGGTCTTCAGCAACTCATGTTTGTTGTAAGAGGCGACTAACGGGATCGGGGGGTCAGGCTCGCTGACTTGGTTGACACATGTCATTGCATCCCAGATGCGTGGACCAATGTTCATGATGTCAATCACTGGATAATCTGGTCCAGATTCGATCATTCAATTGCCACAGTAAAAGCGCAGCAATAATGTTAGGTGTTGTGTTAAGCAACACAAAAAAAACTTCCAATAAATATCAAATAGCAAGGAAAACTAAAGCCTATGGATAGTCATCTTCTTTATTGCAATGAGTGCGACGTTTCAGCGTAGGTACTAACACCGTTATCAAGCAAGTGATAACGGATAACTTGCTTATGATAACGGTGTTAGTACCTAGTACTACCAACACCGAAACTTTGCACTCATTACAATAAAGAAATTGGCTATACATAGACCTTTGATTTTCCTTCATCTTTACAACTTCTAAAATGCCTCTCAAAGAACAAAACAAATAGCAAGCGTGTAACAGTATCTAACAAATCCTTCCTCCATAACAGTGTGACGACATACTGTCATTCTGTCCAACAGATATTAGTTTCTTTAGCAATGTCGATCTAGACCGATGATTCCAATACTTGAATATGATGTATGGCCACTCAAATCAAGGTGTCAATATTACCCATCCTGTGACTTCACAGCACGTGACAATGTGTGAGCAGACGACACCAGGTGATTGAGTGACGGAGAATGAAAACAATTTTCCTCCGGTGACAGACTGTCAGATCGTCAGGACCAAGGTGATGGAATTTCCTGTCGTGTTTACAACCTTATGGTGTTTAATCGACAACAGGAGACTGTACAAACACTCAGTGAGTGATATATTCTGGGGAGGGGAGGGGTCACCAGGTGGGGTGAAGACAGGTGGCTATTTACTTGTCCTTTCTTGTGTTACTGTCACAAGTTGCTATTAGAAATAAGTCCTTCAGAGTATTATATCGCGTTACAGTAATCATGGAGGTTGAAGTCACCTTCTCACGCCGCTGTTGTGGGTTGAAGAATTAGCTGCACGGCTGAGCATCGTTGTCATCACGAGCATCACCACCGCGACGTCAACCACATCCCCACAAACACCATCTAACATCACCGACACCGCACAGCTCCCTCACCACCAACCATTCCATTCCC